ACACACACACACACACACACACACACACACACACACACACACACACAGAGGGTTGCCAGACCAGTCAGTAGCCATTGTCTGTCTTTAGAAGTTAGGAAGGCAGGTTCTGGTGGGGGATTTTTTTTTTCTTTTCCTCTCTTTCTCCTCCTCTTGTTCAGTCACGCATACCAGATCCGAGACCAGGCAGGAGACCACCCCCCCCACGCCTTACAAACACACACACACACACACACACACACATTTGAGCATTCCACACCATCATTCAAAGCATTTAAGCACTCTCCCTCCCCTGACTCTGTCCATGGGGATTTGGGGATAAAGGCCAGCAGAGGGATTGTTGACCACAGGGACAGAGGGAGACAGAAAGAAAGAGGACACACACACACACACACACACACACACAGAGAGAGAGAGAGAGAGAATGTCAGTGTTTGCTGTTTCTTAACTTTGCTTTAGCTGGCCTTTGGTCTTGTGCAATAACTCTGCAATGAGTGCACACTAAGATGTGAAAGATTTGTCTGTGGCATCCCAGAAACATCTGAAAATCAGTCTGGAACAACAGAAAGAATATTTTGTAGACGTAACAGTTGAGCTACGAATGCTTATGTATTTTGCCCATACAGTGCTCTGTGCCTCATAATGACTACCGACAAACATCGTCAATCTGCACGCCGGTCGGTTTGGTTGAATCCTGAATGCTGCATCAAGGCAACAAAGAGAAACAGAAGGGAAAGCTGTGCCACGTAGAAAGTCGGAGCTTAAATACTGATAAATGAACAGAGCGGTGGGAGGGGTACAACGTCGGCGATTGTTTCTTTATCATTTGACATTTGGGTCTGCAGACCTTTCCCAACAGATACAGGAGACTTAACGCGACAAGGTCACGTCACGCGCTTCTACAGAGAGGTCCGCAGGCCGAAATGTAGACGGACAAAGATACAATCAGCCGCATTCTAATGATAATGTGATACTTTATTAATCCCCATCGGGAAAATCTCTTTTTGTCTGCCACCCTCCACAGGGAGGTCAGAGGTCAGGCTCGGCTCCAGAACCCCACTGCTGGAGCTACCGGGGATGTGGTGTCTTACCCAAGGACACATCAGCGAGGCGGAGGGTTGTCATGTCTTTACGTTAGGTCACCTTGCCTCACTGTCCTCTCTCGCTGTGCAGTTTGTGAGTCCTTGGAGGTGGAGCGGGGCCACCTGCGAAGCAGCGATTCTAAAAGGATGAAACTCTTCTTTTGACGACACAATTCTCCCTGTGAGGGGAACGCAAAACCCCGTCCCTTGTTGTATAGGTTGCCGTCTCAATTTGCATTTTGAATACGGAGAGCTGATTGTGAATTAAGCTTTGGAGTTTCGCTTTTGTAATTGTACACTTTAGCACAGTTCCACTTTCTCTTTGTAAGAGTTACACACATTTAAACCCAGTAAATCCACTTTCCTGCAGATGAAATTCAGTTTTTGATTATGCCATCTGAATGTAGTTTTCGATTCAAGCACAGTTAAAAGAGGAGAGTTCGAAGAGGAGATTAATACCACTTTCACATATCTGTCCATTGAATGTGAAGTTGGAGCCAGGAGACGATTAGCTTAGCATAAAGACAGAAAGCAGAGGGGAAACACTAGCCTGGCTCTGACCAAAGGTTAAATAAAATTAAAAAATTAAATGGACTGAGCAAGGCTAGTAGTCTTCCCCCTGTACCTATTCTTTTATGCTAAGCTAAGCCAACCAGCTGCTGGCTTTACATTCATATCAATACATACATGAAATCAGTATTGATTTTTTTGTCTGACTCTCAGCAAGACAGCGAATCAGCATGTTTCCTAAAATGTCAAACTATTCCTTTAAGACATACTGGGCTCCGTCCAGGTGCTTTGGGGATCAAGTCTTACATCTGTAGAGTGTTTACAGTTTGTTGTGGAGATGACCAAATGTGTAAAATACCGCACGCTGATCAACACATTTATTAACAAAACGTTCCGGAATGACTCGTCCACTTGGCTCACAGGGAGAAATCAACAACTTGAGGAGGAGACAGAGAACTGTGTGGATGAATATTCCAACAGATTGAGCAAGGCACTAACGCTGCCAGGTTTGGGGTTTTGTTGTTTTCCTGTGTAACTCAAAGGTTTCACTGTGGCAGCCATACAAAACTCTGTGCCTTTTTAAAGTAGCTGCATGGGATCAAAGTGCTCACCAAATGGCTTTATCTCTGGAATATAACTCACTCTCAGTGCGAGTCACTCTTCCAACTCCCATATCCTGCCTGTCTGCATGATTGACGGCTCACAAACAAGTTAATTCAAAAGCTTACAGGCACCCAAATTCGACAAAAGGCCCACATCTCTGCCCCATATAGGACACTAACATGGGAAACAAAACCATTTCATGCTATAAATGCTGCTTTTGCGTTTGAACTCTGGTGTGTGAGTGAGTGCGCATTGGTCCCGTAAGTCATAAAAGTTGAACTGTGACTCGTCACGTTGTGCTCTGAACC